ATTTCGGTTTGCCTAGGACCGAAATCACCCTTTAGTGGGTAATACAAAACTGAAAACACCATGAGAGAATGGTTTAGGACCGAAATCACAAGCTAGGAAATCACTAGGACCGAAATCACATGGTGTACAAGGTGATTTCGGTCATGCCTTGGCCGAAATCACCAAATTGATCCTTTTCCTAGTGGGTTTTTGGCTGGAAAAGTAGATAAGGGGGTTGACTTGGTGATTTGAAGTTCCATCTTTTCCCATGCAAATTAATACCCAGGAGTTATGAAGGTAATTGTCCAACAAACAACCAAGCAAATATCCCATCACTTTCTTTCTTTATCTAAGGCCAAAATCACCCCTTAAATCATCCACCATTCACATACTACTTTTTGTTAACTTCATTTCCTCTCAAAGAACCAAGTCCAAGCTTCCAAGGATTAAATCTTCAAGCTTATTCTTAGAGTGTTGGTAAGTTTTCTTGTTAATCTAGTGTTTTTATACACTATCATGTTAGTTTCATCATATTTACACATATTATTATGTGTTAAAACTCTTAGGATAATATCACATTCAAAGAGCTCATCAATCACATTTAAGTGTTTTAGGCTTGGACATCTTCACACCATCTCTTCAAACAACCCACAAATCCACTCAACGTGAGTTCATACCCCCACATTTTTTAGTTTTTCATGTTTTAGGGGGGGGGGGGGAATACAAGTAAAACTTGGTTTACCACACAAATACTTGCAATGTTTCATCTTTATGTTAAAAATAAGATATTATTTGCATGAGTTATGGTTGTTACTAGCTTTTATACAAATATTGTAAAATATTAGTTTTCAAATGCAAAACTAACAAAGACAAAATATAATCCATGTCATAAAATCATAAGAAAAATTATGATTTGTAAAACTACAAGGTTTTTGGAAACTTTTTACCAAACTATAGCTTTTCTAACAAAAAGGAGTACATTCTAGTTATTTCACTACTTTGTGGGTTACAACCCAAAAATATGATGTTGACCTTACATTTTGAAACTAGACAAGATGATTACCATGTATTTATATAAATGTTCTTGTCAAACAAGCATGATAAACTATACTTGGTATAGTTTGGGAGTCACAAAACTACACTATCATTTCAGAAGAAACATATAATTATTTAAAGGTATAATTATTTCATTTACAAGAAAAATGAGTTTTCAGTTCACGTAAATCGATTGATACTGGTTGTGAGACATTTAGCTTCACCGCACCTACCAGAGTACACATTAAGTCCTGAATTATAACAAGAGTCTCTTGTAGGGAGAGCGTGGCACTTGTGTATAGATTTATACGGGATTGGCAACCCCGCACCTAAACTGTTAACTACAGTTAGACCGACAGTTCTGGGGTGACAAATGTCGTAACAGTTCCGACGCCTGAAGAACGTCGTTCAGGCCAACTAGTCACATTAGTATGGTTATAATAACTTACATAGGGTATTGACAACACATTTGATTTACGGGTTAACATACATTCAAGTAGTTTTATATAAAGATAAAACTTCATAACACCATTTTTCAGTACAGTATTTCTTACATTTTTAGTCTTGGGATTTAAGACTTATAGCTCATTTATAAAGAAAATATCGGATTTTATGGAAGTATACACTATCATTTTACACTAAACATTTACAAATCCTTCTCATACAAAATACTTATAAACTCACCAACTTAATTGTTGGCATTTTTCAAAATCACTTGTATTCTCAGGAAATTAGTAAATAGGTAACCACAAGAGTTTTTGGTGGATGGGACGTCGTCACATCACGTTATTTACTTTTGTCATATGCATTTGATATCATGTAAACAATGTTTTGAGCACAATGTAAACTTATTAAATATTCAATACAATGGTTGTACTGCTTTGATCGCTACTATTCAATTGTTATGATACTGTTATTGAAGTCACCCGCCCCTAAACGTTTCCGTCGTTCTGGTTTGGGGGTGTGACAAGATCAAGGGTGATTCGCTCCAAACTCATTTCATTGACAGATCTATTTTGTGACCATATGTATGAAAGATGATGAGGCTCATAGCAAATGTATGAAAGAGTATGAGGGGCATATCACTCATGAAAGACTATGTTGAGATCATAGCATTCACATGGGTATGTGATATTTTAAGAAACTCACTAAGCTTTGTGTTTACTAGTTTAAATTCAAATATTTCAGGTTGTTCTGGCAGTAAGGGGAAGGACACGACTTGATTGCATTGCATCCATAGATATATTTTGGAGACTTCCGCACATTTGATTTCACTATCTTTTGTTACTTTGATTTTGGTTATGATCTGTCAAAACTTGAACAATAGTTATTTATCTATCTTTTGGGAATGAAATTGGAATGATTGTTTTTAATTAAAATGAAAATTTTAATTTGAAATTTAGGATGTTACATAATAGATACTAAGTGTAAAACCCGTGTATTACACGAGTTGATTAAAAAAGAAATTAAATATTAAAGTGTAAACAATAAATATTTTTAAAAATAAAAATTTGAAATAAGAAATAAAGAAATGTATTAATTGCAATTAAATATCATATTTATGACATTTAAAACTTTACATATATAAATATATAAATATTATGTGACTTTTTAATTTTAAAATTTGGAAAACCTAAGAATTGACATATAGATATTAATTATTTCAAAAATATCACAAAATGACAAGTGTCAAAACTCATGAAAGATTGACATGTGGCAAAATTGATCTTCATTTATTATAGTTGATTCAAACGACAAGTAAACAATTCAAAAATTGGAAGAAAAGTAAAGAAGACAATAATTACATGGTTCACATGATTAGGATAATTGTGTTATGTTCACTAACAAACAAATCTCGAGGTCAATATGCAATTACATTGTGCTCTATATATAGAGTTAGGTAGAGAAAAATAAAAGGGATAATGATTTGAAAGGGTAACGAACTTTCGACTTTGTTCACATTTAGTCGCTAAACATTTTTTCGTTATCTATTTGCCACTGAACTATTGAAACTGTTCACATTTTACCCTTATGACCGGTTGTAAGGGTAAAATGTGAACAGTTTCAATAGTTCAGTGGCAAATAGATAACGAAAAAAAAGTTTAGTGACTAAATGTGAACAAAATCGAAAGTTTGTTTCCCTTTAAAAAAGTTCAATGACTAAATGTGAACAAACTTCCTCTTGTATTATGTTTTAGCAAATTATTTATTTTTGTTAAATTGTAACAACATTTGTTGATGAAGAAATCTATGAAATAAAAAAAAACCCCGAAAAATATATATTAAAAAAAACGAAAAACCGAAACCGAAATAAAAAACCAATGATTTTGTATTTTCCAAATTAAATAATTACAATTTTCCAATCTGATTTTGGTTTTACAAAAATTCAACTTTCGAATTTCCATATCTAAATCTCTCCCCTTTTTTATAATCGAAAAATGATTATAAAACCAAAAAGAGAATGAGAAAGCGCTCAATTCGGAATTTTTCTATCCAAAACTCCCCTTTGTGACAGGAGAGATAGAGAGAGAGACATGTAAACACCTCTATATAAGGTGGGTTCATATCACATGTAGAGGTGTGCTTGAGAGATGTAACATTGAGAGTGTTAGTGTGTGTTAATTATATAGATTTAGATCTAGATCCTTTTTTGTAAACACCTTTCATAATCGAATGCATCTCTTAAACACCTAAATCACCGTGTTCTTTGTGTGTTCTTTAATTCCGCATGCCAAACCAATGGTCATAATTCACATCAATAAAAATGGTTCATTTTTTTGTAAAACCAAAATCATATTGGAAATTTTGATTTTTTATTTTGGAAAATGTCAAACCATTGGTTTTTTATTTCGGTTTCGGTTTTTCGTTTTTTTTAATATATTTTCGGGGTTTTGTTTTTTTATTTAATAGATTTATTCATCAACAAATGTTGCTAGATTTTTAACAAAAATAAATAATTTGCTAAATCATAATACAATAGGAAGTTTGTTCACATTTAGTCATTGAACTTTTTTAGAGGGAAACAAACTTTTGATTTTGTTCACATTTAGTCACTAAACTTTTTTTCGTTATCTATTTGCCACTGAACTATTGAAACTGTTAACATTTTACCCTTATGACCGATAACAACCGGTCATAAGGGTAAAATGTGAACAGTTTCAATAGTTCAGTGGCAAATAGATAACGAAAAAAAATTTAGTGACTAAATGTGAACAAAACCGAAAGTTTGTTACACTTTCAAAACATTATCCCAAAATAAAATTACTCTAAAGAGTGTGTAACAGTAACATAGTTCACCCCTGGTTTGATGTTTATGTTATTCACCAACATCATTGGAGTCCAATTTGGGACATCTTTGACCTCTACCACCATAGTCTCTACAACTCAACAAAAATGCAACATTCATGCTTTTTCTATGGAATTTATGTTATCTCTCTACATAAATATGAAATATCATTAGGTGGAGTAATAAATGACAATAAATCGCACAAAGTTCTTATATGGCGACATGTTCTTTCCATGACAGCCCTTTGCTTGACCTGCTATCCGTAAATACTTGCCGACCTTTCGCAAACACAACTCATTTTTTCAGTCCAATTTCTTAGTTTTGTAATTTCATGATATTCAACTTGTCTTCATTCTAACACTCGATCAAATCTTAAAGTTGGTACTTGATACTCCACAATATATAAAGCATCATGAACAAATTATTCCATTAAAAATAGAAAAATATAAATGTTAGACGATCTTATTTATTCAACCAATTTCTAAACTCAACTTACATAACTTCCTTTTACAACACCAATATATTCTCAACTTTAGGCAATATATGTTTTCCATACAACATTTTGTTCTACATCTATTTTTCTTTGTCCATAAACCTCTACGTGTATAGACATTCAAAAAAAGAAAACGGAATATATGCAAGATAAAGATAATCATATACATCTACAAGTAATTATGATTAAAGTAAAAAACAAGCAAAATGTCATCTAGAACAAGTTAATCATTATTAAAGTAAAAAAGAAGTAACAACCCTCTTCCAAAAAAAAAATGAAAAATGAATATCCTATCTAAAACTCGTGACCAAAATTTACATTTTATATATTTTTTATTCTATTAAAATACATGTAGTAGTATAATACTATAATGTATATTTATGGTAGATATTCACCCATGTGTATAACTAGTTAACTGTGATTTGTTACCGTGTGAACTTCCGCAAGAGCTAGATGAGTCCAAACAAGCCCCTACAAGACAAAAGATGAGATTTATGATATGTCACACTTTTATTTGTGTAGAAATATTTCACAACTAATTGTAAGTTTTTCGACAAAAATAGTTTTAAAGCTTTTGAAATATATAAAATCACATAAAATCTAAAATCTAAAAAAAAAACTACTTGAAGCACTTTTGAATTAAAAGTTTTTTTGTTAAAAATAAAAACTTTGACCTCTTAATTCAATTTTTTTTTGAAGATTTAACTAGTGATGTTTGACATTTGTAACAAAGTGATGTAAGTATCATTGTAGGTTATGTTAGATAAACCAATAAAAAATGTTTTACAAAATTATTTTGTTTTCAAAGATAATAGAATGTCACATATAATAGATCTAAAATTTATGTCTACTAACTGAAAGATCTAAAATTTAATTCGGGTTATATGAAAGACGTTCGATCATGATACAAAATCATTCATATTTACAAAACAAAATAAATTAGAAACAAAGCATTCCCCAAATATGCCTCTAATTGATCACGATTCACGTGAAAGCATAGACATAAATGATGAAGGAAACCGACGCCCACGTGACAACAATAACAATAATAAAAGTTATTTTATATTTAAATTGCCGACTTCAATAACAATCTACTTTTAACAAATTAATCAAAAAGTAATTACAGTTTTGGTCCCTATGGTTGCCACTTATTTGACGTTTTAGTCCAAATTTTGATAAATTAATATTACAAACCACATTTAGTTTTTAGAGTAAGTTACATTTTTGGTTAAGAGTTGTTTGATACGCATTTTATTGGATCTGATAAAAGATTGAAACTGACTTTGTCAAAGTCAGATTCAGATGATTATACCATAAATTAAAAGACTTTGATTCTATCTTATAGCTCTTATAATTCAGACCGATTATACCATAAATTAAAAGACTTTGATTCTATCTTATAGCTCTAATATGCTTCTTATTGGGCCTGTAAGAACTAAGAAGTTAAGTCCAACTCAATGAACAACGTTTTTTAATTCTTGTTCTACAAAGTTTTCATGTGCATTTTTTTGTTTCCTTGTTTAAGTTTTTTTTTTTTGTCCCTTGTTACAAATAGAATGATTGTATCAATTTGGAACAAAATTACAAAAATTATTAAAATCATCATTTTACTTAGAAATGACCAAAGGCAGTATAAAAACTAAAAATGAAAATAAAAATGTTTTGGTACGAAAAAGGCAAATTATCTAATTTTTATTTACTCACAAATTTTGAGGGGCAAAGTGATAAAAAAAAATATTTTTTTATCGGCAAGTGTCACGAAAGTACCTTGGGAGGAAGTTCGATTTAGGTTTCTACTCCTTCCAACTTCTGTTGAAAATACTCTTCAGCCGGCTACCGGAAAGTCTCTGTAACGCTTTCTTAGCTCCGACGACCTCCGTTTCACTCAGCCGCTGCAAGTAACTATTGGCACCGGCTTCCATTAGCTTCCGCCGGCAGGTGTTGCTTCCGTCGGTCATCAATGTATAAACAACCGCCACCGGAAACTTTTTCGGAACCGATTCAGTCAACGGATCCAACATATGAACTAGCCTCATCATGCTCTTCTCATCTCTCGCAAAAAAGCTTCGATTTTGTTTCACCGACAACAGAGAAGTTAATGCTTGCATTGCTGCCTCTTGTAACCCTACCGGTTTAGCCGATTCCATAAGCTTCACTAGAGGTCCCATGCATCCGGCGATTCCACGCTTGTTAGAATCGGTAATACACAAATTAGCTAATATTGAAGTTGATATTTGTTGTAGAGTTGGATTTCCTTGCTCGATGAATTCGGCGATTTGTGTTATGAACAACGATGATGAGGATAATAACCGGGAAACAGAATCGGAAGTGGAGAGTGAGTGAATTGAACGTAATACGTACTCTAATGTATCTGGATTTGATGATCTGTGAAGCAAATGTAAAAGGCTTTCCAATCCTTTCTCTTGTATCAACAAGCTCCTGAAATACTTGCTCGATGAAGCGACAATCGCAATACAGTTAGCCGATTTTTCTTGTGAAGCGGCGGAGCCGGAAACAAGTAGCTGAACCATCACCGCAACCGCAGATTCTTCGCATAAATAAACACGAACGTCTTCAACTGACGCTACGTTCATAATAGCGCCGATTGCGTGTGATTGCGCAGTTAACGATCCAGATCTACAGACATCAAGTAGTATCGGAACACCGCCGTACGCCGTAATAGCCCACGCATTATCAACATCGCCGGTGATTGCTTCAACGGCAATGGACGCCTTTTCTTTCAATTGAACAGAACCAAATTCCAGAATCCTCAACAACGGCCCTAATCCACCTTCCTCGAAAACCGTTTTTCTAGATTCTTCGCTTGCGCAGGCGAGAATCGATACGGCAGACACCGCTTGTTCACTAAGATCGTTAACATCAAGAAGCTGAATCAAATACCTTATATTACCTTCATTCGCAACCACTTTAACAGCCTTTTCATCTTCGATAAGTAATTGCACAAGACATTCCATTGCCTTTCTCTTAAACTCCACTCCCCCAATCTGCAATCTAGTGAAAACGTCTCTAACGAAAAAACCTAAATCTTCTGAAGAAGATCCAGGTGCGGGTTGCGAGAGGACAATCGCAGTTGAATGACAGAGGACGCCGGAGCGGATGAGCAAATCAAGGTCTTGAAGCTGCTTAGATAGCCAACCGGTTGCCATGTCGAGGTCACTCTGCATAAGGAGCTTCCCAGCTTTGTAACTGAAATCGGTGCATTGGTCGCATAGGGTTTGGATACGGCGGAGGGTGGATAAGAGGTCCGGGAGTAACGTCTGGAGGATATGATTTTCCGACCAGTGAGTCGAATCGGAAATGCTTGATAATGAAGAGCTGAGAACGACAAGCTTTGAACGGATAACTTGCCAACGGGCGGTGAAGGAGTTGACGGAGGACGACGCCTGGAGTATTGTGGAGAGGAGGGTGGTGGTTTGGTGAAGGGTGTCGACGGGAGAAAGCGGTGGAGGTGGTGGTGCAACGGCGGAGTACATTTCTAGATGTCTGGTGGGATTGGGAATGGGGAAAGGAAGTACATTGCGAAGTGGGAAGGAACAGAGAGAGAGGAGGTTTGAAGATGGTGGGGTTTTGGGGTTGGGGTAAGAAGCGTGAGAAACGGGTGGGTTAGAAGGCAAGTTCTTGTGAATGCCAACCTATCACGTGCGCGGCCAGTGGTCACAACTACCATCACAATTAAAATGGATAAATTGTTTTTGTTTCTTATTATTTTAAGGCCCTTATTTTATAGCTCATGTTATCTACACAGATAAATGTATTTTCGTTCAATGTATAATTGTTTATGTTAAACACGAAACCATTAAAAAAAATTAAAAAATAAATAAATATCTGTTTTTAAGTTTGGCTTCAGATTATCGCAATCAAAAATATAATAGCGGTCAACAGCCTATTTAAAATTACGGTTCTCGAGATGGTATGTCAATAGTATAGTGTTTTTCATATTATGTAGAATTTTTATTTTGAAGAATATATATATATATATATATATATATATATATATATATATATATATTGATTAGAAATATTAACATGTTAATCATGCTTTAAAGTTCAATTCAATCCAATTAATCCGTTATTCATACCTCATAATCATAATTACTTAATCATACTTCAAAAACATCTTATTAATGTCACATTTGATCATATTTTGAGACAATCAACAAGAAAATAAAGTCATACTTAGCATGTTAATCATATTTCAACACAATAATAGTCAGCAAAAATAATTATGCAATTTGATAATTAATCACACTCGAGTACTTTAAGTCTTCAATACAATTAACAACACAATACATATATGGTATCAGTGGAAATCGACTTAATCAATATTTTAGTTTAGGCTAAGAAAAAACATTTTTATTCAATGTAATGGCACAAAAACATTTTATTTATGTGAAATAGCTCAAAAATGGAATTTATTCAGATAACGGTTGTAGCGTCACTATAGTGGTGATTATAATCGCAGTAAATCGCATTGTTACACCTCCGCGAAACGTTATAACGCGCGATTAACTGCCCAACCAAGCCATTGATATTTTGGCTTTTCGGTATTCCTTTTTCTTTTTATTTGTATTTTTTTAAATGTTAATAAAATTCATTAAAATAATTAATTCACTAAGAGTTAACGTATTTTTAGAACGACAAACACAAATCCGTCTAAATTATATTGTCACCACAGGACTTGAATCCTCAACCCCGTGGGTAATATTTTGATACTGTTAGATCAAATGCTCTTTGGTACTAAAAATTAATATATGACGATGACGACGTAACTGAATGCTCAATTTTCAATTTAACAAACGAAGATATATATATATATATATATATATATATATATATATATATATATATATATATATATATATATAATGTTTTAAAAAAACTTATATGTTAAGTTTGACTTGAGCATTTGTAGCATTCTCATGACACAATTGGATTCGGTGACACAGCTGCATACGGTAGCACAGTTGGATACGGTGGCATAATTGGATATGACGGTACACTTGGATACGAAGGCACACTTGGATGCAATGACATACTTAGATACAATGGCACACTTGGTTGTGATGGTACACTTGGATGCGATGACACATTTGGATGTGATGACACGTTCAAAGAAGTGTCATGCACAGGAGGTGCCACTCAATGACACCTCAACAAGAGAATGACACCTCGAAGACATTCCATGTACATGAGGTTCCACCAAGTGTGAAGATGTCACTCAATGTCATACTGATGTGTCATCATAGCACCTCGATGATGTGTCATGCACTAGAGGTGTCACAGAGTAATAGAAGGTGTCACTAAGTGACAGTGTGTCATGCAATGGCACCTGATATGTCAGTGGTGGATTTTTCATGTCAATGTGATGTCTCTCAATGATGAAGGTTCTAGAAGCAGTTGCATGGCAGATTGTGATTGGTTGACACATTTCATGGGCCTATGGATTAATGGGCTTTGCTCATTAGGGTTTTAGGTTTGATCATTAATCTATAAATATGGATGCTTGCTAGTTATTTGTAAGTGTCTTTTGTATCCTTAGTGAGTAGGTCGAATCTCTGTTGGTTGTACTTGTAATCTCTGTTTGAGAACTCTGTGAATAAAGAATACTCCCCTCTTGGCTGTATACGCAGGTCACATTGATCAAACCACATAAATATTATGTCTTTTTGTGCTTTTGGTTTCGTGTGTTATCTGCATTATTTTCTAACAAGGGTTATCACATATTGGCAAGTGGCATCAAATTTGTTCTAATTTTTTACAAGTATCTTCTGGTTTCTGTAACATCATACTTTCAAAAAAATTCATTACGAACAATATTACTTGTCAGTTTTGCAAGTTTTTTGTTTTAACAAATCATATTTCCAAAAAAAACATCACAACTACTATATGTTTTTACAGCTTTTATCAGATAATAATTTAATATATCAAATTTCATAATTAAAAAAAGCAGATATTCATATTGACATTTGAAACAAATATTGGAATTTCTTTATAGTGAAATATTATTTATTGAGACTATTTTTCTTGTATCATAATCAAAGCTTACACAATTCTTTTAGTTATATATTGATTGTTATAGTTCAAAAATATTTTTTAACTAAAACTATTATATTTTAAACTAATTAGCCAAAAGTTTTATAACACTCGTAATTACAACTTTAAACTAGTTAAACTAGAACTCAAAAGTTTTTGTAACTTATGGTTATTTATTGATACTTATTATATTTAATATATATTATGCAATAAAAGAATAAATAGTGGTTTTGAGTCCAACAAATAAATAACCCCAAGTTCTATAAAATCTATTCGCAAAATGTTTTTTGTAACGAAATTTAAATTAATATTGAGTTTTTAGTTTGTATTTTTTTTTATAAATCTAAAGTGACAAAAGTAAGTGAGTATTGAAAAAGAGTGAACAAGTGATGGATCAATAGAGACAGGCTAATCAACATTGTAGTTTCTTTGTCAATGAGGTCCAGTCCAATTTGGACGAAGGCACACTCCAGTTTTCCTATCCTATGGGTTTCTGGGGAATGGTGTTGAGTTTTATCTATGTCCAAAGCACTGAAGTGTAACACCCGGATCCCAAAGTGCTTTAAACTTTTCCAATTTTGGCATTTCAAGGTTTGCCACAACATGGTGCGGAGGCACCACGACGTGAAAAGTCAAGTTAAGTCTGCGTATTTCATTTAAGCTGCCATGGCGTGGCAGCTGGCAAGTGACAAACCCTATTTTCTGGGTTTTGCTCCATATTCAAAGGAATGAGGAGGCTAAGGTTTACTCACCATCAGCCTCCTTGAGATCCGAGAAACCCTAATTCCCTTCATCTCTTATTTTAAGCCCTTTTAGTGCTATTTGAAGCCTTTAAAGGAAGAAAGAAGAAGAAGTGAGCTAAGATTCGACAAGCTAGTCCTCATCCTTTGTTTTGGCACTCTTTTGGACCTTTGTAAGTGTCAAAGACTCAATTTTTATCATGATAGGTTTCTAGATCTTATGTTTTGTCCCTAAATCTTCATGTTCTTGTGTGTTTGAGTGATGGGATCTCGTAAAGTTTGTAACTTTATGAATCTCTAGGACATTTGACATGGTTGTTGGTTTGGATCTGGATTCTAGTTGGGTTTTGAGCCATGCATGAGATTTCCATGGAAAACCCCTTATTTTGACTGATTATGGCTTCAAGACATGCATTGGACATGCATGTCTATAACGTACCAACTTTTATGTTGGTTTTGATATTAGAAACTGATCTGCAGTAAATAAGTTATGGACTTTTAGGAATAAGTGCTTAACGGGGAAAGTCATGTTTTATTTAGCTTATTTGAAACCTAGGGTTTGAGATTTTGATCTTTTGGGTGGTCTTAGCGGGTAAAGTTAGAAACTTTATCATTCTAGACCTGGTCTCGGATCAAATCTGAGCATTAGAGCTCTTAGGATCGAAGAAAACAACTTAACCCATTAAGTTGTTGAAAACTCAATGCCTACGGCGTGGCATTAGGTTGCCACGGCGTCGCGGTGGGGAAAATCACAATGGACTAATTATTGGAGGGCCACAGCATGTCTATAGGCGGCCACGATGTGGCGGTTGACTAAAGTCAACATTAACCATTGACTTTGACTGTTGACTTCTTACTTGAGTTGACTTTTGGTCAAGCACCTAGTTTGGAGAAAGAGTTAAGGGTTTATCTGATTCAACTGAATAGGTGGTGCGTAGCATCGATATTCTGTCAGTGAGAGCAGTAGCAGTTGAGCATTTTCTGCGAGGTGGGTCTTCTCACCATACTGGTGGGTCGAATGCACCAATGTCGGCCCACTGATTTGTATATGTAGGATGTATGTGTCTATGTAACTATTACTTATATCATTGTATGTTATGTACATGTAGCTAATTTGGGCTCGGAGTCATTATGGACTAAGGGGTGATACCGGCCCGACACAACTACATGTTGTTACATGGAGTCGTTAAGGACTCGGGGTTGATATTTACCCGGAGGTTGACACAGACTCGACAGCCACATGTTGTTATATTTTGTTCATGTATATGATGTATGTTGTATGGAATTAATGATTTTAAAAATGAAAAATTTTATCATTGTTTTGCGATGTTACAAGTTGGTATCATAGCTTTGGTTTGAGGGATTCAGACACACTTTCAGGTGTGTCAGAACTCAAACTGAGGAAATGATAATCTTTTCAAAATAAGTTGTAACTGTTGGATTAATGTCTAAGTCCATAACTATATTTGGTATGTACTTGACCCGACCCGGCATGGTCCATTTGGGTTGCACTTCACCGGCACAATTTATATGGATAGTCTTTTGAGAATAGTATATTTATGATTTATATTAATATATTATAAGTTCTAATATATTAATATGGAATCATATTATTCAATTAGTATTGATCAAGAATTAATTTAGAATTAATTAAGTGATCAAAAAGAACTAATTAAATATGGACTCTTATATATATGGAA